ACGCATTGTCTGAGTCTGAGTCTGAGTCATCATATTGCACTAATTCCTTTAGCGCAGCGACGTCGTGGTCTCACCACGAGTTGTTAGGGGACGCAAAGTTAGCAAGAAAGTTTAGCATTTCGAGCCGCCTTACAATCTTCAGCAAACAGATACTTGATATATTTGTCGTTTGCCAATCTCCTCCTGCCTGCCTACTCCTGATTTTCTTCACCAAGTCTCAGTCTCGGCTCATCTCCCAAACCTATCTCATGAAGTCCCGCAGCCGAACAGCTGAGTTCATGAACATGACGCCTGACTGACTGACTCTGACGGACTGCGGATTGACGGATGACGGATGTGATAAATTTAACTCAGATGTCAGATGTCAGAAGTAAGTTAGAAGCAGAATCACAGTTGAGTCTACAGTTTAACTCTGACACATTTAGACTTGAGGTATGCGGTATCAGGTACCTCAGGTATCCTTATCCTTTTCCTTGCCAGTGAAGCATGGCAGACGATGGCCATGATGACTCGCTGGAATCTGTGGCCTCTGATGATGCCCCCTTGGTGCTGGAGCAACCAGTCAGTTCTCCACCTGGCTCTGGCGGCGCTGTAGTATCTTTTCGGGAAATTGTGGAACGTGCGCTCCAAGCAGATGAAAGTGACTTGTCCTTACCGCTGCGTATTGTTCTATTTTTCCTTTCAACTTTAAAGACACTGCCACTGCCACTGCCGTTGTTATGTCCACTACACTACGCCCTTTGGCCCTTTGGCTTGAAATTAGGATGGGCCATGCATTTTGAAGAGCGCCGAAGCGCTTTCGTGATGATGGTGAGGAACAGGTCTCCGGGGACACTGTCCTTCAAGCGTACCCAGACGATGATCCAGGAGCTCTTTGACCGGAAAGACAATGTCACGGTTCCGTTGTCTAAATTGGTGAAGCAAAGGCAAGACAGGAATCGTAGAGAGAACAAACGAAAAAGAAAGAAAAAGAAGGATACCGACACCACCACCAACACAAATGTCACTGATGCTGAGACGCGCTACAAGAACGCACCTTGGCGCCGCAAAACAGTTGAAAGTGCCAAAGGCACTAGCAGCACTGCTGTGGGTGCAAAATAGACTTCTGTGGCTGTGGGCTGTGGCCCGCTAGAATCAGGCCGTGGAGTGATCATTGAAGGATCGTGTACAGATACAGGCTTATTCATTGAAAAGGGCAAAGAGTCTCTCACTCTGAGTCTGACTGACTTAAATGAACTCATGCATGCTGGCTGACTGGCTGGTTGCCAAACCCTGGAATGGTGTGCCAGACAATCAATCCTGGTTGACTGGCAGCCACTCCTATGGAATGGCGAGCCGGACTTTCAGTCATACAATACATACAGGCAGATATGCACATGGCTGGCAGTCATCCAAATGTAACAACTTAAAACAAACATCATCCATCATCCATCCATGGAGTCAGGTTTTGTTGCTACTTTCTTTAAGCTAAATACTAGGAGACGGAGAGGAGGGACGCTAGTTAGTTGAAGGCATTCTAAATGACTGTGATTCAAGTTTGTGGACCGCGCCCGCGGAGTGGGGTCGAGTCCGGGGGTTAAATCTCCAGCCAAATCACTGGCGCTTGCCACTTTGTGCCGACCTCGTCAGCGCCATGTCGGACAACGCATCAGAGAGGTCAGTAAATGCACTTGTGGAAACAGGTCCCCAAAAGCGTGACCAGGCCACATTTTGTGTGTGTGCATTTTTGTCGGAGTGTGTGTGGCAGCGAGACAAGCGTGACAAGTTTGATTTGATGTCTGACCTTCAATCGATGTTTGATTCCCTTCCTTGCCCAAGGTGACGGCAAACTACCAGAGGAGTTGTGCCTGAATTGCGAAGCCACTATCCCTTTGGATTTGGTCAACAAGCACAAGCTGAAGGGTCGATGCTTGAAGTGCTCCCGGCGACACAGAACCATCGTTTCCAACACCAGCGACCCGTGCATTGTGAAATGGTTTAACGGCCTGGTGTTTGTGAGTAGGGAGGAGTACCAAAAGATCATGGCAAAGCACGAGGACTCTAATTCCACAAGGTTCGATACAAAAGCCAACGGGAAGTTTGACTTGTGTGAGTATTTTGGCCGCAGCCGCAGCCGCATCATCTTGACAAAACCCAAACACTTAGGGATCTTGTCGTGTGACCTGGCATCTATAATCATATACAATTACAAATGAAAAACAACATATATATATATATTATTATGTTATGAATTTAACTAAAATATAGTAATTAGCAGCTAGGCTACAGTGGCTCAGGTACAAAGAGTCTCAAGCTGCCGCCCGAGTGCAGAAGACAGGTGGTCAATGGAAAGCTATGGTCTTTGCAGAGTATTAAGCCTACTTTACATCAGACAAGCGTGGCACTGAGAAGCTCAGCCAGCAACAAGCACTTGCAGCATGGATGCGAGACTTGAGCGGAGCCAACGGAGTGCAGTCTTTCAAACAGAAAGTGCTCGATCGACGCACCGGGACCATGGTGGAAAAGGACCACGTGTGGGTGGAGAAAGCACCCGTGCGAGAGAAGTTCGAGGAATCCCGAGAGACGAGGGAGGTCTCAAAGATCAAGAAAACGATGAATCCAACAGTACAGCAATTGCAGGAAGCAACTTTGAAGGTGAATGCATTTGTCAATCACAACATGGCTGAGTCCGAGTTCTTGAGAACGTGCGCAGTCACGGCCGTGTCGGAGGACAGTGTCTTTTTCCACAGTGGGACGAATTCCGAATCCACGCTCGATACCAAGAACAGGAAGAAGAAGGAGCGCGCTAATCAAGCTCCAAAACTTGTGGATATAATTTCGGTTCGTACCAAGTACTTTGGATTCCAGTTTCCATTCATGTTTTTGTTTCATGTTTTCGTGAGTCATCATCATCAGTCACAAGAGTCATGGTGTTCTTTCTCACTGACTCTGTGCTTGGTCTTAGCTTCCAAGGCATATCGTTAAGATTTCTGCTCTTGGCAAGTATACCTCGACGTCTTTGACTCAAGCGATGGATATCTATACCAAGTTTGTTGAAGTTGAGGAGAAGGACTTCATGGATCGTTTTGAAGGCTAGAGACGGGAGATGATAGTTCAACACACGCCCACCACGCCTTTAGAAGCCACGTCACAAACTGCTTTGAATTTTCTCTCGGGTCGGTCCGGTCAGTCGGTCCTTAAGATTGGGCTTTTGAGGCATCTGCGGCCACAGGGCAGAGCTGACCGAGAACATCAAACCTGCCACGAAGGACACCATATTGGGTGATAGCCGTGCCGGGGACGAAGCCGGGATGATGAAGTGCATGTTTCACGTCCAGTCCCGCTACACCATTTGTCGTGTGCTCTTATGCACTGACAAGGCAGATATGATTCAGCAAATCACCGCCGCAGGGTGCGACGTTGTGGACAACGTGAAGCTTGGAGAGCACTCCGACGACCCAGAGGCCAGGTGATGTAGGACATGTTTCTCCAGAAGCAGGGGCTGACTCGGCCAGTTTCATGCTTTTCATCATGATGCTGTCTGTCAGTCATATTAGTTATTTTGTCATGCGTAGATCCGCGTGCCATTATTGTGCGGAGGTGTTGGAAGGTGCCTTGAAGCTGGTCCTCAAGCTTGACGATTATCTCAGCGACAACTGCTCCAGCATCATTGCCGACCGCATGCTGTACTTGCTGGATGATCCTGACTTTGAAGACTGCGAGACCGCGGATCAATGTGACAAGCGAATGGAATCGTACAAGGCTTGGTTTTTCAAAGAACATCAATTAGTTTGTCGGTCAGTCTGAGAAAAGAGGAGAGTAGAGATGCTGAGGGTAGATAACTAATATATGATGTATTTTTTATTGTGATGACTCGACGACGACTATAGATGATTTATAGTTTAAGTCTAAGTTTAAATTAATATGTACTATGTACATGGACATGTTCTATGTACTTTGTACACTGACTGGCTGGCTGCCAAACCTACGGAATGGCAAGCCGGACAATTGGACTCAATTGGGCTATACTGTGTACTATATACTATATATATACTATATACTTTGCTAATACCAATGCTAACTATTCATAAAACTTTAAACTATATCGCGAGGACCCATGCCAGCCGTCACGGGGCCTCGACTCCACTATGTAAAACTTTTCCTTAGCTAGGCTAGGCCAAGCTAAGCCTATTAGTATTAGCCTACTTTTTTTCACAAAGCCAGGGCCCTGGCTATGACTGACTCTGACTGACTCGGCGCTTTGCAACCAGCAGGTTTCGGGACTACAAGAACCGTGTCGGTTTCGTCACAGAATATTAGCTTTTTTACCATGTGCGCTTGTGCAATCCGGGATGAGGATGAGTGAGTGAGGATGAGGAGATAGGAGTTAGGACAGGAGGATTAGGGGGATGACCCTGGCCTCTTGTTTTTGGTGAACAGTAGAGATCTAAGTAGCACGCGTTCCGCTGATTGCCTGCGACTAGGAGGGTCAGGAGTTAGCAGGATCAGGATCGGCATTGCGCCTTCGGTTCGTAGATTGGCTGCGAGGCTGCGAGTATAGGGTCTGTATAGGAGTTAGGAGGATGAGGACCGCGGTAGAGCTCTAAGTGGCCCGCGCTGTTGGAATTTGATCCTGGGATTATCCTGTCGTATTGAATTGATTGCATACATTAAGCCATTAAGTAAGCCGCTGTTGTGTTGGATTGTATTGTGTGTGTGTGCTGCGAGCCAGTTCACGCCGCAGGAAGCGTGCAAGGCCATGCAGCTTTGTGGAAGCTCTCTCCGACGGGCCGTTCAGGACATGCACAAAATGAGGAAGGCTTTGACCAAGGTCAGGAAAACATTGGCGGCCAAAAGCAAATTGCCAGGCGAGCCTATGGGGCTTGGGTTCTTGGTGTGCTCATCATCATTTCAAAACAGTGACTGTAAACATACTTACTTACGACGTGGGGTCACCGGGTCACACAGTCAGTCAGATGAGAATAGTTTCATTTAAATGTAAACTGTTGGAGACGCTGGAGGTGATGATGATCAGCAAAAGGCTGAACGCATGTTGAATGGGCGCACCAACCTAAATAAGGCCATCTCTGACAGCGACCCGGACGTGTTCAAGAACTTCAAAGCACTGCAAGGGCGAAGGCCAATGAGAGCCATCAAGGACAGCACAGAGCTTTCAAGCGGAGATGCTGACTTGGCACAGCCGTTCGTCCTTCGAAAAGGACGCAATTTGTTGAAGTTCTTGCTCAAGGACGAAACACAGCGAGGCATCCTTGAGGTTACATTCAACAAGTTCAAGGCGGATGTGAAGAGTGGTTCCGAGACCAAGCACTTCCAGGTGATCAACGAAGAGGAGAAGGAGATAAACTCAGCAATTCACAGCAAAGTCAAGGAGGTCTTGCCGTCCACATGGGCTGAGATGGACACACGTAGTGCTTTGGAAGGAGAAGAAGTAGATGACACAGCATTTAACCAGTTGATGGGCGTTTGGATCCTCGCCAACAAAGAAGGTTCAGTTTCTTCTGGCTTAGAAGCCGGTGGATTTCAGTCGCTCCGGATGCAAGTGCAAGGTGGCAGGTTGGTAGCTTTAGCTGATGCCAGGGAGCTTTGCCACTACTACCGGGAGAATTCCATGGAGAAGGTTCTGGATAATTTTGGCAAGATGAATTTGGACAATTGTCCGGACGCCTGGGAGGTGCCAAGCCTCAGCTTCGAATACCTGAAGACTGGGGACCTGCTCTACACCCCTCCTGGCTTTATGATTTGGGAAAAGTTCATTTGCGACACCTCAGTTGCGTTGCGAACAAACCTGTTCTACTTCACAGCCCCTTTGGCGGATGCATTCATGGCAGCTATGTCACAAGTTGCCTCAAGGCCAATGTCAGAGCTGATGGTCATGATTACGGAACATCACTTCCCTGCCAGCGAAGAACCGTCCCCACTCCTTTTCAACGATGGCCTCGAAGACTTCGTGCAGCCTACTATTGCTTTGCAGGCAGAGTCACTGGAGTCAACGGCTGTGGCCGTGGCATCACCGAAAGCATCTGCAACAGCACCTTTTGACCATCCGGACCGGCAGCCAAAGCAAGCAGAGACCTCGCCCTCGTTTCCCCCCCACGCAGGCCGCGAGCCCGCAAGAAGGCAATCCCATGCCCGCGATGCAGAATGCAGCCGCAGCCGCAGCCCATCCGGAAACACCAGCCACACAGATGTATGGTAGCGAAATGCCCGCTGCCCAAGCCCATGCTGAGACAAAGGAGACAGGCAATTCTGATGATGAGTCCAAGGCCAAGGCCGCAATGGAAGCCCATCCAGAAGCCCTACAAGCCACACACCGATACACCGACAGCGAAATGACCGCTGCCGATGCTGAGACAGAGGAAGAGTCCAAGTCCAAGGCAGCGGCAAAGGGCAAAGCTGATGCTGGCGCCGAGGGGAGCTTGTCGTCTCCGAAGAAGTCAGCACCTTCACCGGAAGACAGCGAAATGCCCCCTGCCGATGCTGGGACGCCAAAGGGCAAAATGCCCCCTGCTGATGAGAGGAGCTTGCCGTCTCCGAAGAGGTCAGCACCTTCACTGCCTTCACAATCAGGAGCAGACACCAAAATGCACCCTGAGGCTGAGGGGAGATCGCCGTCTCCGAAGAAGTCAGCAACTTCAGCCCCAAAGGCAAAGGCAAAGGGCAGATGCGCCAAAGCCAAGGCTGAAGCCAAGGCTGAGGCCAAGCATGCTGCGCGATCAAAGAAACCTACCGATGACGATGATGATGATGATGATGAGGGGCAGAAAGACGAAAAGAAGAAGAGCAAGAAAGACAAGAAGGAGGACTCGGGCAAGGACAAGAAGCAGAAGGAGAAGGATGCCAAGCAGAAGAAGAGCAAGAAAGACAAGAAGGACGCAGAGTCGGACGCGGACAAGGAGAACGGTGGCAAGCAGAAGTCCCTTGCCTTTTGATTGAACCGTTTCCATATTTATGAAAAGCCAGTCCTTGACGGTCTTGAGGCCTTGTTGAGGTGTGACTCTGACACAGGTTCACTGATTGACAACCTCACCCTCACCTGTCTATGACTATAGCACTGATCAACTAAGGAAAGAGGGTAAGACTAAGACAAGGAAAGAAAAGGTCTTAGAGAAGGCAGCAGATGGCTCACATAGCTTGGCGGATCTGTTCGCCGCTCCGCTGAAGCGAACCCGGTCGTGACCGATGAAGTGATTTGGAAAGTGAATGGAGTGATTTGGGGGTAGTGTGACGGTTCCTTGGAGCTGGGCGATTCGTTCTTTGTGGCATCATCAATGTCAACAACAGTTTTGTTTTGTAGTTATATTGTGTTCACTTTCACTTTCACTTACTAATACAGTTCAGTTCAGCGACTTCACTGAATCATGACATCCCAGCTTTTGCTAATCCGTCCGTATTTCTGTTGACTGTTTCGTCTTAGCTGGCTGGTGTAGTGTGTAGGGTCACATTTTTCCAGCAGGCGGGGATTCAGGCGATATTCACTTATCGCAGTGCTTCAAGCCCGGGTCATAGATCCATGAGCCTGTGAAACCACGGGGTGGACGGACTTGGCAAAATCAAAGTACATCAGACGACAACTTTAGAAAGACAAAAAGGCTGCGCTTTTCAGAGTGGGCGAGTGTGACTAGAAAGCATTGGCGGCCAGTTCAATATTGAACTGGCTACCAGTGCTGACTCAGGAGGGGGGGCCTTCCTAGAACATTAGCTCAATTCAGATGTTGCAAATCCCATGTGCCCCACAGTTTTAGGGACACTGTTGAAACGCATATTTTTTCACTTCCCGTGACAACCGTGAAATTTAATAACTGGCCAAGCATAATGATGCTGGATGCGAGGAAGTAGCGTCCAAGCCCCAACAAAAATGTGTGAAATGGGTCAGCTTTGTAAAAAACCTCAGGGTGAGGATCCTCCGTTGGAATCAAAGCCAGAGGACTAGGTTGGTCCCATGGACGCGATGCCCACATCGATTGCCTCCATGCAGCGGACTGGGATGTGTCACTGTAAGGGTACCCGGTAGTGCCTGCAAGGCAATAGGCACATATTGGGCCACCATCTTCAGTGTCATGGTAGAAGCTTCTAACAAGACGGCCAGCCTTTGCGAGGGCCGGAGCGTCGCCCTTCATTCCCAGACAAACTCCAAACCAGGTTGTGCCCTGAATGCGCACCCCCTGTTCAAAGAGCCTTTTGCAGTCTACTGCTATATCATGAAGGAGACCCATGTACACCTCATCAGTGTAGGAACCATGTGGCACTACACAGTACAAGAAGCGACTGAGAAAGCTGCTGAGTCTGCCATTGTCATACTGAGCATCCAAGAGATCCTGTGGCCTCTGTTCCAACATGCGTGCATGCTTGGGTTTTTTTCTTGGCTGCCATCTTGCCTTGTTCATTCACTTGGGAAGCAGTTTCACGACCAAACGGAGTCTCGAAACTAAGAACTAGAAGCTTTGACTTCCGAAGTGAACGGCCATCATCGGAGAAGAGATAGAATGGCACACATGATCGTAGTCGATGCTGGTGCTGTTGGAACACTTGATGGTCTGGTTCCTCGAATTTGTAGGCCTCCCAAAAAGCCGCCAACATCTCTCCAGCTTCGGTTGCGTGTGTTTGGGGAAATCCTGCCAAAAGCACACTTGGCTTGTGTTCAAGCACATAGGAAAACCAGGTGCTAATTCGAACCACATGGACGGAGGCAGAACCAAAACTCAACTCAGTGAGTGTCATAGGAAGTTCCAGTCCGTTTCTGAGAAGGATTGGGTGTAGATCCCGTTCAGCGTTGCCTGGGTTCATCTTAGCTATCCTCAAGAGTTCCGCGCTGAGGGCTCCATCCACCTCTTCCGCCACCCCCTCCATCAAGTCTTGAAGAGATGACGCTTGGGCCTTAGCCGGGCTCAAGCCTACACAAACAAACAGCTATATAAGAATTTCAAGAGGCTGAGACACGAGCCCCGTTGGACAACTGTCTTGCAAGCTTCCACATCAAAGGGCCTGGGGAGTGGTCTCCTGGCTTCAGGGTTCTTGCAGAGGGTTGCTTAGGAAGCTTGCTGTGTGCAAAAACAGGGCAACCTGTGGTGGAGGACACGTAGGTTTCATTTTCTGCACGTGACTACCCCCTGGTCCATGGTCCTATGGTCAACCCCTTTGCGACCACACAAGTGGCCATTGCAAAAGGTTCTGTGACCCTGACCTTCAAAATTAAGCACAAAGCCGACATATGAAGTATTCAAAATCAGCTCGAGGCTTTTGCCTTGGCCTTTGCTTTCTGCTTTGCACTCGCTGAAGGTGCCTTGGCTTTGGCCACTTGATCTCCATCAGGCGAGGCCTTTGCCTTTGCCTTTACGGCAGCACCCTTTTTGGGCATAGGCATGACTTTAAACCGACTCTCAGCCCCAACTGCGTCCATGGTCCTTGGAGGATTGAAAGCCAACCTGATACATTATTCACCAGACCTTTTTCGCTGAACGCTTTGACCTACACTGACACAAACATTATATGACAAGATTCAACTTTTTGGCCTTCTTGTACAGTTCACGGAGCTCTTTCTCATTCCTGAGAGGTCTGGCAGTAGTAGTTTCCAAAATAATGGTACAATCGAAAGAGATCCATTTGAGGTCCATGTTTGACTCTTTGACTGCAAGTTTAGGTGAGGCACTTCTCAGTATAGCCCTCAACCGCCCCTTCTGAATGGACACTCGTGATGTTGTCATGGACTCCATCCAACTCCTTGATCAAGGTTTCCAAGCGCAGACAGGTCCTCAGCAATTCATTTTTGTCATCCGCAAGTGGCAAACGGAACCCATGGGCCATACAACTGCAGAGCTATATAGACCCCTAAGATATCAAAACATAGACACGTCTTGATCCAAGAATCGCATTATGAACTGGCAGTTTGTCTGCAGGACTAATGGAAGAGATCTTATCCCGCAGGTCGGCCATCTTGACAGACTTTTTCATGATACCCTGCAGGTATTGCTCGATGACAGCGCTGGCTTTCTGCCCTCCCTCCAGCGCTGGGAGCTCAGCCGTCGCCCCTGTGGATTTGCCAGCGGGAATAGCAGACTTAGCACAGGCCGGTTGCCTCCCACGGTGGCAAAACACTCTAACACAAGCACATATATATATATATATGAGCTGTGTTTTTGCAAATAATGAATGCATGCAGATGTTGAAACAAGCCTCCAAGATTGACACTGTCCATGTTCAGGCCACTCGGGTCTGTAGATCCCAGCAGCTCATCCGGAGTATCCGAAACGACTCGTGCACTTACCCGCTCATAGCTAGACAAGGCTTCAGACTTCAGCATGCTTGCGCTGCAATTCTTCTCACACCAATACTTGATAGTTTTGCCATTGTAAGTGTCATACCTGGACTCTTCACAAGTCATGGGCAACATGAGCACACGTGTGAAAACGTCATACTGCAAAAAAGTTGCATCAGCAAGGCCGGATTCTCGGCACAGTAGGCTTTGATCTCACTGATGCGAGGCCTTGCTGCGGAGCGACATGAGTGTTCTCGCGTATAACCAACAGCTCCCAGGAACAAAAAGACAGGCGTAGACATAGAGTATAGACCAGAAAACTATATACCTATGCAACAGCAAGTGTCTCAGACAGTTTAAGAACCTTTCGCATATCTTCCTCTGTGTAAAAGTCTCCTTCCACCTTGACATCTAGCTGTTTCTTCCGCTCCCTTTCAACCTCCACGAGTTTCACGAACTCTTGATGGTCATAGTTTGCCTCGACCAGGAGGCTTCGAAGCTCCTGCCTCGCAGCCCCGCCCTGCAACCATTTTGCACGCACGTGCTTCGGTACAATGAGGGATCCATTGCTCCGGCGTTTGCACAACCTGTCCAGCTTTTTCCGCTGCGCATCGGCTGACAACTCGGGAATCGCATCATGATCCTGTTCGAGACCTTGAGCATTCATCGCATCAACCTCCAGCGATGAAATACGCTCCTCTTTGCTGTGAAGCTCAGACTCCAAGTCAGAGACATGGAGGGACAAGCGGAGAAACTCAACCTGCAGCTGGTCCACACTGAGATGGGCAAGCTCTTGACGCGTCGTAGCACGGAGGACCTGGCTTGGAGGAAGGCGCTTTCTCTACCGCTACCGCTACCATGCATCACCCTGCTGGACAAATTGAGCCCCTACCCTACCAAAAAAAGAAGCCCCCTTCGTTTGAGTTTTTGTCTTTAAAGACGCCCCTCAAACATATCAAACAAAGACATCCCTGGCCTGACTCCCGTCCACACCCTCCGTTTCACGAGGATGTTGTGACGTGGACTGATCACGTGACATGTCGGAATGCTCACCAGTCTTGGACCCATCTGCAGCTGGCGTGGCGCCAAACAGGTCAACAGGCGTGATCGGATCCACGTCACTTTGAAGCCGTTGCTTCTTGTGAGGAGCGGACTTGACTGGATCACTCGCAGGGGTCATGCCAGTCCCTGCAGCTTGGTCTGCTGGTTTTGGAGTATTGTTCAGGTCGGAAGTGTACAACAGCGTTTTCTGCCTCTCCAGTTCCTGCAGCGGCGCATGGACACATGCGGATGTTTCGGGTGTATACACGTATTGACCTTGACCTTAATATAGAGTATAGCAGATATATAGTTAAACAAATTAAAAAAAATAAACCATATATGAAATATATATATATATATATTCGGCTTTACTATGGCCTCAAGTTCTTTCTGCAGCTTCTCTTCCTCTTCGGGGTCAAGCTCTGTCTTCACCGCTTGCAAGCCCACCGCCCGCGCTCCGGCGAGTAAGGTCTCGCTGCTCCACGTTTTCGACGGGCCGGCGTGAATCGCGGCAGCTGGTTCCGACATTGAGGCGGGTGTGGATGGTTCTATTAGTTAGCAGGAAACAATCTCCCCACCTGCCGGGCAAAAAGGCCTTCATTGCGGGCACGCCTTTCAAACAATGAGGTTTTCTTTGCCTGGGCCTATTAAGCTTACACTGTACCAAGGGCTTTCCGAAGATTGCGGATATATATATATATATATATATCACATCCTATCGAGTTGAATCAACCTATATATTATCACATCCTATATCGAGTTGAATCACCCTTAGCCTGAAGATATTTTTTGCGCCACACATTCAAAACAAGTGTTCCACAGGATGATGGGTCATATGATTTCTCAGAATCTCTCAACTCTGCCTAGAGTTTCTTGAACAGGGGTTGAACGGCTGCAAAATCGATAAAGGCCAGAAGAAACCATGTAGACGGTAAGGATCCTTAACGTCTGTATCGTTTTTGCGGCCCTTCAACACCTGACTGTGCCCCCATGTTGGAATCTCTTCATTGGGGCTCCCGAAATAGACCCACATGCAATCTTGTGGCGCCCATCTTGGAGCCTCTTCATGGGGCCCCATTTTGGAGCCAGATGACACCTCAAGGATAGGTGGAAAGAAACCCCTAAACCCTGCACCAAAAAGAAGACACCAAAGCCTTTCTCAGGGGCCTCAAAAGCGTACTGTTTGGGTATTTGTTTGGGGAGTTCTTTGGTGCCCATGATAACTTGTTGGGAGGGAAGCGGAACAGCACGAGCAGCCAAGCTGCATTTATCAAGCAGGTGCACGGCAATAATTGTATATAATTAGCGCTGGTCCACGCAATTGGAAGCAAACGACCGTGTGGACTTTTTGAGTCCCCTATTATAGACTATGGTAAGTATCAAGTTCCAGTGCAGCGTGGAAATATCCCAGCGGCTCCCGTCCGGACGCTTCACAGGCTGTGGGCTGGCACTTGTCTCCTTCAGTTGGCCCTTGATCCCGAGGACATTGAGGGTGTCCGGACAGGACGCGAAAAGACGCCCGAGGGACGGGAAAAGACGCCTTTTGGACGCGTCCACTGGCAGATCTTGAACCCCCCAAACAGACATTTTCCAGGTGTGGTGGTGGTTTGACCGTGGAAACATCACCAAAAGACACCCCACTACCTCTTGGCAGAGTGGCCATACCACTCTAGAGGGTCATCCACAGTGCCAGCCTCATGACAACCAGGATGGAAGCGCATCCCGCCACTCTGGTGGGATCTCTAACAAAACGCTCCTGCGAAGGTACCTACACACATCCACTAAGAGAGCATCATCACAGTAGTCCTCGTATACCAAACTGTCAAACATCTGCCGGGTGGTCTTGCCAGAGTCCTCAGATAGTGGACCCACAATGTTAAACAAGTGCCCTCTTTCTTGTGTTTTGGTGGCCTTGAAAAGTAAAAAACAGTATACTTGTTATCAACATGCACTTGAAGGCTTTGTTTTGGAGGTGTCCGGAAAGCTGTCTTAAAGCAACAAAAAAAGGTTAGTTCCGGACACCTCCCCCCAAGAGATATACTAGGCTCATCTGGTATATTTGGACGTCCCTCGCTCGAAAATAGATCCGCTGCTTTGATGATTTGGCTTGCAAACCGGGCAGGATAGACCCTTAGCTATGACAGGCACGCCGTGGGGGAAGGAAACGTCGTTGGTGGCTAGTGGCAAAAGTAAAGTTCGAGTTGAAACATATACTGTATATTATATATATATGTGTTCAGTCCTTTGACCAAATGAGACCCGAACTGTGTTTGCTTCAATGCATTTTTGCACCCCTTATACCTTTTCCTTCCATGGGAATCTTGGTAAGCCACGGCGGTGTCAATGGTTTTCTTTGGTTTGTTGGCCTTTGTCAGGCGCCCACGGTTGAAGATTGCCACAAACCGAGAATTGCTCCATAACGCACTTCTCTTCGGTGTTGGAGCACCGAACATGGACATCCAGAATCGCTGGACATATACCTCAGCAAAACCCCAAGAGTCCAGGAGCACCCACAGGTCCTATATGGCTTTGAAACCCTCGTATTTCCCCTCATGGCAAAATGCTGGCATGATGAATTTCCACGTCTCCAGAAGCCATTGCATTCGGTCATGCCTCCAAACCAAGCTGGATGAAGGCTGCTCCAGAAGAAAAACAGCTTTCAGAGCAACTGTGAGCATGATTATGAAGGCCACCCTCAGGGTTTCCAAACATGTGGAACAATGGTAGGGGCTTCCAAGCAAAAGTCACCACTACACCACTACTGTTGGGGCTCACTTTTGAAGCGGCTTCAAAACACCCGTCCTTGCTGTCATCAAGTTGGCCGATTGCACTGCCACCGACAATGGGTCACCCATTGCATGGATCCAACATCGAAGCGTTGACCCACGCGAGATAGAGACCCATGTTGAGCAAACCAACCCAATCACCACAACCAATGAACCAATTCTGCCATGAAGCAAACATAGAAGGGCCAACCTGGATTGATGGGAGGGAAACAATAGAAATCAACACGTTGCCCCCACTGAACTAAATATAGTTGGCCCCGGGATCCCACGAAAGCTTCCCAATAGGAGCCTGGGAACACATAGCCTGCCGGAGTATTTATATCCATAGCTCCAGGACGGACTTTGGAATCATATTCCACATCCAGAGCCACACTATGCTTTCCAGCAGAGCGTGCGGTCTTGGCACAGCGGCCAACACCGGCAAACAATTCAATAACGTCAAGCGGTGGGGCCTTGTCGAGGTGGGAGACGGACATCCAAGTGCACATCAGCACACAAAGTACCATCACCTGAAGCAGAGAGAGTCGGACCATTTCCATTCTCTATAGACTCTTTTCTTGTGAGCTGGCCTTAGGTGCTCCCAGCAAAATTAGGCGTCGAATCACTCCATCCATTTCAGATGGGTCCAATTTTGCCATGGCTGACTCTAAATCACTACGAAACCAACTACGGATTGATGCCCCAGATCTGGCGGGAAATCCAAAATAAAGATATTGTTTTGGACATGTGCTCATGGAGGCAGTCATGACGACGCAGCAGGTGTCCTGGCTGCGGCCGCTTCTTCCCAGGACCGATTCCTCGTCGGATGGCCCAGGCAATGGGCCCCATGACCTCAGAAGAAAGCTCGGGCTGGGACATATAGTTTGTTTATAAAGCCATTTGCTAGGCTTTGCAATTTTGCAGGGCTTGAGGTAACAAAAGAGCTTGTTTTCACTGCACTCCTGAAGCTGTTTGCCCACGCAGCCCTTTGGCAGTTTGCAGTAATTGACACTCTCTTCAAAAGTGTCTCGCAAATGAAGCTAGCAACTCAGATTGGTCTAATTGCTTTCACCCGAGTGGTGAACACCACACAAGATTGATCTTATGGGAAATAGCTCACCACGAGGCCTAACTGGATAGTGCACTCCGGAAAGGGAGCTCAGCCTTCAACCGCGCAAACTCAGGCTTAGCCAACTCCACCTGGCCTTCCAGCTTGTCCAGGACAAGCGCCTTGACTGCTTGAGCTTGAGCAACCGAGAGGTCGTGCACTTGAACTCTAAGTCTCTAAGAATAGCGCAGCTTCCTTGACCAAAGCAAAGTTCTTGTGAATATCGCTGGAAGCAGCATAAAGCACCTAGTGCGCTGTGTACCCTTGTTTGTGCGAGTCGTTTGCACGCATTATTGTACCTGGCCTGTTTCTTGTCTTGGGTCTTGAGCTTCAATCCGACGGCGTCCCGGCTCCAATACATGACGATGGTAGAGTGCTGGAACACGGGGATCTCTGGGATAGGTCGTGGGTGTTGTTTTCGTTCCTCGCTGCGTCCGGTGACCTGCTCCTGCTTGTCCTGCTTTGGCGCTGCTGGCTTGCTGCTCTTACGTCTCCTCTTTGGGGCTTCTTGTGCAGGTTGGTCTTCCCCGTTACCTGGTGTTGTCTCCTGTGGCTCACCTGCGGTGTGTTTCTCAACCTTCCTCTTGCGTGTTCCGGTCGACTTCGTGCTGCCATCGGCCTGCTCCAGACCCTGCTCTACCTCTCTTGCATCTTGCGCCTGGTCCTTCTCTGCTACCTCCTTTACCTCCTTTGCTTCCTCCTCTGCCACCTCCTCTGCCTCTGCCTTCGTTGCCCTTGCCTTCTTAGCAGCTTTGTTTGCCTTTTCTTGTGCCTTTTCTGCTTTACGTTTCTCTTTCTCTTGCTTCTCTGCTGTCTTTACTGCCTTCTTCTGTTCTCGTTCTGCCTTCTTTTGCTCCTTCTCTACCTTCTTCCTTTCCTTTTCAGCCTTCTTTTGCTCCTTATTTGCTTTCTTCTGGTCTTGGATCTGTTTCTTGAGCGCACGCTGCTCACATTTGTCGATAGTCCCCACCTGCGGCAGAAGCACGTATCACCATACACATGTTCTATGCGCGCAGACATGCAATTAGTATAATTCGGAAGTACATGCTGTACATGTGCGCAAACGCTCCAAACTCATGGCGCACGCTTGCATGAATGACTGCCTCCGATGCATAGCCCGCAGCTTTCTGAGCTGCAGATGATTGTGGTGCACGTTCAGTCTCCTTCGTCTCTTCCTGTCGTTCCACAACCTCAGTTGCCTCGCGCTGAACTACTCCTGATGCAGGATGAGGCGACGCCTCAAGATCAACCAAGACTGGACTGGAGGCCGGGGCGGATGATGAAGGTAGCCCGCGTTGTGCTCTCAGGACTTCAAGTCGTCTCCTGTGGAAAACATAGCGTAGAGAATTT